TGCCTGAGAGGAATTCGCTTTGAAAGCGATTCAGAATTTACTTGTCGAGAAAAGGATTCTGATGAAGGCAACTTCTATATGACTGAATGAAGAATAAAAGTAGAGATAACTAGAAAAATAATAAATAAGTTTGAAATATAAAATACTAAGTTTTTATTTAAAATTTTATATAAGGTAACATTCTTTTTTACTGGCCAGAAAAAGAGTTATATAGCACAACTGTTTTGCTGAAGAAATGTGTAACTAGTGGTTTATCACAAAACCTGATAAAAAAAACAATAACAGCAATTAAAAAATAGAAAGAAGATATCGAAAAAAAAAATATATGAAGTATTGGCAAGAGCAATTGCAACAAGATCCCCTTGTTTTGCTAGCACTGAAAGAATTGATAAAAAAAAACCAAGGCAGTAGCAGTACTGTAAAAAATTTAAATTATACAGGTGTATATTTTAATTTAGAAGAAAATAATCATAAATAGTAATAAATTATAAATATTAAAAATGTAAAATATTAACTAAATGTTTATATATAAAACTTAAAGATGGTAAGTAAACATTAGGTCGGGAAAAATAAATAAATAAATAAATAAATATTAAAAAAAAAAAAAAAACCTGATTAAAAAATATCAGATTAACTGAATGGATATGAATTAAATAAAAATAAATCCATTCGGATATAAATCAGATTAAATAAAAACTGATCCGATCAGATTTAAAACAAGTTTATCTAAAATCCAATTCGATTTGATCCATTGTGATCCCTACTTGAAGGCCTATCTAACCTTTGAAGCAAAAGGTTTATAAAGGTTTTCTGCAGTAAAAAGGCTTGTTTTTTCCCTTTTTAACTGTTTTGGTCCTCTTAGAACTTCCACTTTCATGGTTTTTTGAGGAATTTTGCCTACCTTAGTTTGACTCGGAATTTTGAGTAGCACAAGTCCTCACCAAAGGTGATTGGCTAATATAAAACATGTTAGTTATTGGAATGTAAACAAGCTCCTATTGGTCACATTCACATGTTCTAATAATGTCATTGGTGATTGGAAAAAAAGTTTTGAAACCATTTACTTTTCAAAAGCTCAAGTTCTTTAATGAAAACTTTTATGATATCAAAAAACTAAGTAATGGATAATATGATTGCAAACTTCTGTCTCTTTAATGAAAAAAAGCTGAGGTCTAAATGCTTTCCTTGAGATATTCCAATCCAGTGCTTACTTAAATGAAGGACCTGTTGGATTGACTCATCTGATGCCACAGGTGGTAAAAAAAAATATTTCTTCTGAGGTTCAAGTAAAGTAAGAAAACTATTCTAATCAGGCGAATCCCTTTTAAGAAAAGATTGTTTTTATTTTTGAACTTTTTTGATAGACCTTAAATTGTTTTCTTTCCTTAATCATTTTTCTCTTTCCCTCTTTTTAATTTAGCAATTCATTGGTTTTCAGATAATTAATAGTAACAAGCTATTGACAATGATTCTGGTAGATAAAGATTAATACTATCTATTAGAGAAGTATAATATTGTCCTCAAAATCTGACTTAAAGTACTTATGTATGAAAACGAGTTAGTTACTTTGTGAAAGTCTGTAAATTATTATAGATTTACTTTTATTTCTCAATAAGAACAAGTCATTGTGACATGATTGCAGGTTAAAAAAAAAAAAAGTCGTTAAAATTATTAAATTCTATTTTTCTATTTTTTTTTTTAAAAAAACTTGTAATTAGGCCAGCACTGTATATTTATTAATAAATATGAAAAGCAATAGAGATACATAGAAAAATTGTATTATGACTAAACTAAAACTTATGCTAACTTATTTGTCAATGGCTTTCTATTCTTAAAAGAGCTTTAGCTTCTAAGTATAACCTTGAGAACATTATTTAATTTTGTAATAGATTTTGGATAAACACTCTCCTAATTTATATATTATTGTTAGCAAGTTGTATTGCTTATTATTCTTCAAAAAACTGATTTTGAGAAACTACAAAATGAAAAAGGAAAAAAAAAAAAAAACCACAATTGTGCTATATGAAAATAAAAAAAGAAAAAGAAAAAATAAAAGTGTTCCATGTCTTTCAAAGAATTTCTGCTAGAAATCTCTTCTTATTAGAAGTCAACACTTCTGAAATATCCTTCTTCTTCTTGACAGTCTAAGAAACTTATCTATTCATGATTCTGATTATTTTCTTGTGACTGTCTGAAATACTTATTGTTTACTCAGATTCAGTATCTTGCTAAATGCTTCCTTTCTTTTGATCTTGATTTTATATCTATTCACATAGAACAGAATGACTAATAATGAATCCCAGGTTTTTATATAGGTTTTCAGTCTTGTTGTGCAACTCCTAATATCTTTTAACAGTCATGTCTAGTTAAAGAAATTTTATTGATGTTTATCTTGATTGCAATATTATTATACAATATATGGGGAAATGCATTCTCAATTCTAAATAAGGGTAGTATTTTATATTCCTCTGCTTTTTGATCTTATAGCCTGACTGGGATAAGGAAATAACTTTTTTCATATACTTTACCTGATTAGGATAATAAGAAGTTGAAGGTCTTAGTTTGAACAAATAAATACCTTTTTACTACCTAAAGAATTTAGCACCTATTCTAATAGCCTTATGATTTCTTTGTTTCAGTTACACTTCATTTGGAAGAGTGAAGGAGTCTGTATCAGTAATTTCTTTTTTTTTATCAATGATATCATCAGATATATAATGTAACCAGTAGAAACTTGTTTACATTCTGCTACTAATGTGTTTCATATTGACTAATCACCTTTAGCAAAAGCTATGTCTATTTTGTGTCACTCCAAAATTTAGAGTCAAGCTAGGTAGGCAAAATTCCTCAAAAACTTTGAAAAATGAGTAACTCTAAAAGAATAAAAACAGTGAAAAGAAAAATTTTATGGTTTAGGCTTTTGTTTGCCCATTTATCTACTGCACAAAACCTCTGGTTGCATTTTTATTTCAGGGGATATGTTTTCAGTACTTCACTATCAGTTTTTTTTTTAAAAAAAACTTTCTTGTCATATATAGTATATATTTTTTTAACCTACAATCATGCTGAAATGATATGTCTTTATTGAAATATTGACAAATATTTAAATATTTTACAGACTTTTACAAAGCGACTAACTCATTATTGTATATTATTAGTTAAAGAACTATACTACTTAAAAATATGAGGAGTCCACTAAGCTAGTTCAAATTAAACAAAACTAAGTCTAAACTAGTACTCTAAGTTCAAATTTAGGAGACAATATTTCACTCTTCTGATAGTTTGATAATAGTGCCTCTAAATCAACCAGGATTATTGCCAACAGTTTATCACTGTTAATTATCTCAAAAAATGATAAATTATTAAAGTTAGCACTGGGAAAAAGGGAAGGGGAAATACAAATCAAAACCCTTCAAGAAGTTCTTGCTCCATTTTACAGTTTCTCTCGAAAGGAATTTGCCTAATTGGAATATTCTCTAAGCTTTATGACATTTGAGAAACTTAGCCATTCTTAAAAGTGATTTCAAGAAAAATGTTTGAGAAACTTATCCTTCTTCTGATATATGGGTTCGCTTATTGCTAATAAGGCCAGTGCCATATTATAGAAGAGTTGCCTGAATGGAATAAAAAAATCTTTTTAAGAACTTTGACTAATCAGGATAGAAGCTTGGAAATTTCAGCTTTTCTCCAAGAAAGTCTTTTCACCACTTGAAGAACTTAATAAGAGATGGAGTTGAATCTTCTTTTCATACCTGTCATTCATCTTTTAGTATCATAATTGTTTCTTGAAGGTTGAACATACATGATTGGAGTAGATACTTTTTCTAGAACTTTCTTTTCTATATCATCAATGATGTATCGAGACACATGAGTGTAATTAATAGGAGCTTGTTTACATTCCAAAAACTGACAAGTTGCATGTCAGCCAATTACCTTTGGTGAGAATTTGTATTACCATAAATTCAGGGTCAAACTGAGGTAGGCAAAATTCTCCAGAAAACCATAAAAGTGATAGCTCTAAGGGGCCTACAAGTGACTGGAGAAGGAAAAATAAGCCCTTCTGTCATCAAAAACCTTTATATATCTCTTACTTCAAAGGTTAAATAGGTCTTCAGGTACTTTACAGTCAGTTCTTTTTCCTTTGGAAACTTTCTTGCCATTGGTATTAAAGATATTGCTTAACTTTTCTTGATCACTAGGAGTCAGGTTTTTGAGTGATGAGGTTTATAAACAATAGGGGAAGGGTAGAAGTGACTCTCGAAGTCATAATTCAAGTTGTTTTAAGGAAAGTATTAAGACTTTATTAGCAAAGAAGGATAAAACCTTCTTGCAAACATCTTTTTTATGTGTGATCTGAGGATCAGTGGAAAGAGTTTTTTCACTTGTAACTTTATTTTTTATCATATATATTTTTCTGTTTCTGTTTTTTTATAAAAAATATATATATATTTAAATGCTTCTTTTCTTCTTTTTCAATTTATCTTTTTTACTATAAAACTATCTATTATTCAATGACTTGATAGAATATATAGTAATAATAATATACTAGCTATAATATTTTGGATTAAAAGAATTATATTTCAAAATTCACTATTGAATGAAATATTGTTTTTCAAAATCAAACCTAAAAGCTTTTAATATAACGCCTAGAACAAATTTTTTAGATATAAAATATAAATGTTTAGCTTAAATATATTCCATACTACTCAAATTAGATTTCTTTATTCTTTTGATTATAAACCAAAGGTCAAATCTGGATACAAATATCATTAATCTGATTAAATTAAATTATATCAAATTCAAATAAAAACATAAGTCCAAACTTTGTGAGCGACTACAGAAAAAATTTTTAAAATTTCAAATAATTAAGACTTTCGCTTGAAAATTTTACGTTACAATATTTACATAAATCTCGGGGTTTTTCTGTAATCATGCGTCTCAGTATATTCTATTATTATTATTTTTAACCTAATTTCTATGATAATGTTAGATATTCGAATTTATGAAATTTTATTTTTAAAGATCGACGAGCGAACCAAATCTTCTTCGGAGGGTAGTTCTTCATCTTGTGACATACCAAATATTAGACTATCTCTAGGTGATTTTTCTTCCCAATCACCGTATCCCAAATCATTAAGCGCAATACCCTCCTCTTCATCATCAGATATTATAATAACATCCCCATTTGAATTCATTGGCTTTATCAGTATATTTGACGTATTTTTATCAGTTTCATTTGCTAATGTACTAGAAAATTTTCCGTCAATTATATCTACAAAACTAGATATATCGTTAAAAGTATTGTCGTGTGTCGCAATAGGAGAAATATCATCAAAAATTTCACTAGGTAACTGAAAACATTCTAATGAAGAAATGATGGGTGGTGAACTGGTTGGTGAGGATGCTAAAAAAGGCTCCCCTGAATTAGTGGATGTAGTCTCTGGACGTTCTTTACTGGGTATACTTTTGATTACGTCTAGCTTCTCCTGAACAGTAAGATTCGTTGATGTATCCTTGTTTTTATTTATATATTCGACCGGGTGATCCTTTGATTGAACTTTCTCTTCCACATCCCCGATATGATCTATTTCGATTGGGATGAATTCTTTACCGGACCCAGTAAGGTCATTGTTATCCTTCAAAGAAACTGTGCATCGTTTTTTCTCCTTAGGTTTGTCATCTTGTATCAAATCTTCCTCATCTAGTGTGTGTTTTAAACTCCATCTCGTTTCAAGGTTGAAGGCACTATGTCTTTTATTTTGAGGAGTAGGATAACCCTCATGCCTTATTTCTCGCAAACCCTGATTGGTCTTCCCAATCTCGAAGCCCTCGTTCTGGAAGTCCATGAAACTCGGGTCATATTCTATATCATCCATTAAAAATGAATATTTATCTTTCATGTGATCGTTCGAATCAGACCCATTTAAATTATGTTCATTATTCGATGGATCCACGCTAACGTCATCTCCTTTTAAGCCAATGGTTGTGTGGTCGTTTTTATTGACAGAGTCCTGCGAATTACAAGTGTTGGGATTGTCTTGTGGAGTAACGTTATGTTTGTCATCATTAGCCGAGAACATTTGAGAATTAAAGAATGACATATTTTCCAATTCATCTTCGTCCCACAATTGTTCGTACATATCAAATAATTGCTGTGCATTATTTTTGAGTCTTGGAGTCAGTTCGGTCTGAGGTGCTTCAGCATTTTCCACGTGTGTCGAAACTGACGTGTTACTTTGTGAATGTGCGACACTTTCTGTGAAGGAACCTGAGGTTTTACCGTTTTGAAAGCATTTATGGTTCGTGGTGACGTTACTAGAGCGTTCCGTACCCATAGCTTTATCGAACGATTTTGTCGATGGAGGACCGTCCTTACGTTCTAAAATTCCTCTATTATGATTTTCGGATGACTCATCTGCTGATGAATATCGATTTCTGGAATGCATCTTTTGACCAGATCCTTCGTTATTAACAATGTTCGAATGTGCACTTACGTCGACCGAAATGTCTGAATTGATATTTGGATGTATATTTTGATTTCCTTCTGATACCAAAATATTCCGTCTTTCATCATGATGCTCTGTAACAGGTAAACTATATCACGCGTAAATTTGAAGAATCACGTATGAAAGTTTTTTTTTTTGAATTTTTCACTGACAATGATCCTTACCCTAACCGCTTTTCCAATAGGTTCTTAATATTGTTTATTGACCTACATATGTCTTTAAATCCCCCGAGAACAGTAATCTTTTGAGATTCTAGGCATAAAACTCCACGTAAAACTAAAGTTTTGCTTATTGATATCTAAATATTAAGAATTTGAATATAATTATGCATGATAGAACGAAATAGTAATAAGTCTCTTGGCGAACCTTTGTCCCAATTGGCGTAAGTAAGTTCAATTGTTCTAGCGGTTTAAATTCTACGGCATCTATTATTTGGGCTCCATCAGTCAAATATAACCTAAGCATTGCTCTTGGAAATTGAATCGGCTCATTTTGTCGATCTCTTATATCATTGTATTTATGTCCCTGCTTTATGGTTCCCGAAAAATGACTGTTTATTATGTCTAATAAAGTCTGATTCGGAATCCCTACTTCGAAAATTTCAACTATTTGGAGAATTACAGGTCGATTTTCGCCGATAATGATCTTATGAGTGCTATCCATAAGCGGCGGGAGAGATGGCTTTATTGATTGCTTAAGATCTGATTCTAGGAATTCATTGTAAACCGCCTGATAAAGCTTTTGATTGTTCGCATTCTGATATTCTGAATTTTGTTTGAGCTTATCCAAACACTTTTGCAACCACGTTTCTTGAAGTTGAACATTATTGACTGCTTCGAAACGATTCTTCACGAATAAAAACGACATAGATAAAAGGTTGTTAGACGAGGCACCGTAGAAAGACTACGTAGTATGTTTTGACCTTTAAACCGTGATTAGATCGGCCTGTTAAAATTTTTTTTTTGTAACATATCTGTTCTCACGCGCAAGGAGCCAATCATATAGTCAATATAAAATATGTTTGTTCACATGACTGAAAATTCTGTTTGTACATTATTAGTTAAAGAATTACAGTATACAGTATATTACTTAAAAATATGAGAAGTTCATCAAGTTAATAAAACAAAATCTCAATTAAATACTCTAAGTCAAATTTAGAAAACAATATTTTATTTTTTAGTAAATTTTTTAATTTATAATTATTATTATTTTTTTTAATCTATAATTATTTTTTTTTATTTTAAAACTGGCTCATCCCATACCTTCTCCAGTATTTTATTAAGAAAAGATCATATTTAGCAACAATCGGGATGAATACTTTTCCATACTGTCTAAGGATTTACTGATCACTAGAGAGAAATAGAACTGGGAGCTATCTATTTTTATGATTCGATCTATGTCTAACCTAATTAGAATAAGAAAAATACATAACCGCCTAGTGTAAATACTTCTCTTTTAAAAACAAAGCAGGGACTAGTGAGATATACAAGCTGCGCATTGCTTACCTATCCTCATATTCAGGAATCGATGTTATCTAGAGTACACTAATGCACACACCGATTGGCTTGTTGCCATCCACTATGGGATCTAATATGCCAGGACTCACACAAGAATTTCAATATTATCTGATGTTAGAGACCTCTTGTACTAGTCTTGTGACTATTCAGTATTAAAAAAAAAAAATTAAAATGGAGGAGAAAGGTTGAAAATATTTATAAGAAAATGAAATAAGGGAAGGAATGAAGGGACACCTAACAACTAACTTTACCTCTGAAGGTACTCAATCCATAACCTTGACATTTTTGGAGTTAATAAGAAAGAGGAAATTACAGTCCATGTAATGTTTATACACCTGCACAACTAGCCGGTAACTTATAATGGACCTAAGGTTCTTATGAAACTTAGGAAATGCATTCACGTCCTATGTCACATGTATCCTTGTTTACATTTCTACTAACTGTGAAGCAACCAATCACAAACTTCAACCAATCAAACCATCTAGAATCTGGTGTAACAAAAAATTCAGAGTCAAGCTAGAATAGACAAAATTCCTTAGAAAAACCAAGAAAACTGCTACATACTAAAAGAGAAGTCATTTTTACCTATGGTATTGATGTCTGCCTATTGGCTGGTATGGAGTTTATTGATCCAAACTTCTTCTTAGACTTTAGGACCTCTATAGGGAAGGAAGGGGGAATACTTTTTCATCTGGTTTCTTCTTCCTAAAAAAGCTTTCTTTCCATTAACTTCTTAGGTAGGGGGTTTGTGAAGAGGAAAGGTAAACAAGAAGAATATAATATGACTACTGCCAAGCAAAGCAGATGTTTTTAGGAAGAGTTTTGAAGTTTTATTACTCTCAAAACATAAAGTTTTGGAGAAATGCTTCTTTGGAAGTGGTGATAAGGGATCTATAAGAAAGAGTAATGTGATAGGGTATTTTAATCTATAATTATGTCACAATGACTTAACTTTATTGAAAACAAAATTTACAATAATTTATAAACTCTTTTACAATGCAACTAACTTGTCATTATACATAAATATAAGTCAAATTTTGAAAACAATATTATATTTTCCTGATATAATTGAATTGATTTCTATCTATTAGAATTATTATCAATAATTTATTATTATTGATTAATCAAAAAGTCAATAAATTGCTAAGTTAAAAAGAAAAAAGAAAAAAACAAATAAGGGAAGAGAATAATTTAAGGTTTATCAAAAATATCCAAAAATAAAATTTAAAAAGGATTTGCTTAATTAGGATAGTCTTTTTGTTTTAATTGAACCTTGAAAAAAATCTTCTTTATTATTATTTATAGTATTAAATAAGTCAATCCAATTAGTTCTTTATTTAAGTAAATACCAAATTGGAATATCCAAAGAAAAGTATTTAAACCTTAGCTTCTATCTATCAAAGTTTTATTATTATCTTAGAAACTTAAGTAAAAAACAAGAGTTTATTATTTATATTATTAATCACTTAATCTTTTGATATTATAAATATTTTTAATAAGGAACTTGGATTTGAAAAAAAAATATTTCTGGAACATTCTTTTCAATTATCAATAATATTATTAAAACATATAAATAAAAATAAGTTCCTAAAAGGAAAGACAAAGACAAAAGTCAAATGTTCCTTATTAAAAAACATTAAAATTTTTAAAATAATAGTTATAAAAAAATTATTTACAATTGTTCTCCATTATTTAAATCATTGATTTATAGTATTTTCTAACTTTTGGTTCTATTAAGTAAAGAGTTATGAATTTGGTTCTTAAAAAGGAACATAAGTGGTCTGTAAAATTTTATATATTAAATACTTTAGGAATCCATTATTACATATAAGTGTAATTAATAAAAATTTGTTTATATTTTAAAAACTAATGTATTTTGTATTAATCAATTATCTTTGATAGGAATTTATACTATCAAAAATTTAAGGATAAATTAAGATAAATAAAATTTTTTAAAAAACTATAAAAACAAAAGTTTTAAGAGGACCTAAATGATAAAGAAAAAAGAAAATAGATTTTTTATTATTGTAAAACCTTTATAAATCTCTTACTTTAAAAATTAAGAAAATTTTTCGATATTTTATAATTAGTTTTTATTTTATTAAAAATTTTTTTGCTATTAATATTAAAGGTGTTACTTGATTTTTCTTGATTATTAGAAATCAAATTTTTAAATAAAAAGATTTATAAATAATGAAAAAGAGTAAAAATAGTTTTTGAAAAAACGATACTATTATAAAAAAAAACTCTTTCCACTGATCCTCTGACTACACACAAAAAAGATGTTCGCAAGAAGTTTTATACTTCTTTGCTAATAAAGTCTTTATACTTTC